CTATGCATACTATGAGGAAAACATTTATTTACATATACAGAATGTCAAGTCACTCAAAATCTTCTTTCTACCTAGTACGTTGCATGAGGGTGCTGAGCTCGGAGTAGGATTGTAGGATTTTAGGAACTCAGCAAACAGAAATGAGCACCTGGTCATCAGGGCCAGTGTTACATGGACTGCACGGAGAAAAGATGAGGCTGGGCAGGGTTTGCCAAGAGCCTCGGCACTCTGGCCCGCTGTTGGCTTCCAAAGCCCTCCAGTGGCAAACTCAAATGTCCCCCCCACCGCTGCTGTAAACACAGTCCATGCAGGCAGATTGATCACTGTTTTGCACACTCCCTGAAACTGCCCAGGACGCCTGCAGGCCTCAGATAACACAGACTGCAGACTCTCAGCTCACTGTGCTGCTCAGCTCCCCTGCAATGCCCTTCCCTGGGGTCCTCTTGCCCCCTTCTGTGCCTAGTGACCCCCCCAGGGTCCTTGGGCTGGGGGGTGTCCTGCTAGAGGACACCCATTGGCTCCATTGGAGCCTGTGGAAACATCCTCCAAAGGCAGTGTTGTGCTGCCTCATCAGTGGGACATTCCCCAAAGTCACAGCTGGAAGTGACAAGAGGCCCTGTTTACAAACATCAGGATTTCTTTCTCACTAAATGTAACACAGTTGGTGAATGATCTGTTAAACAATGGGGAATCAATGAGGAGTTTTAATCCAGATATTTCTAGTTGCCTGGAAGTGAGTGGGAAAGGGTTGGTGTTAGGAGGGGCTGAATTCAGAGCAGGTGAGGAGTCCTCTGGTTCCTCTGGTGTTCCTGACCTGCTGGTCCTCCCTCCATGTTCCTCCTTCCTCTGTCTCCCCAGTTCCTGCCATGCCCCCAGGTGGCCCAGGCACTCCCTGCTGCTCCCTGAGTGCAGGTGGAAGTGCTGTGTAAACACAGGGCTCTCCAGGCAGTGTTGAGCCAAGTTTATGCCCCAGCTTGTGCTTGGCTGTTTGAGCTGGTCGTAGTACGAATGAGCCATTCTTTATGATTCTGTATGCGTCTCTCCTCCCTTCCATACTGGAGGCCACGTGAAGCCGAGTCTGCCCTGGCCCCTTCCATAAGACTGTGTCCTTGGGATGGGTCTGGCATGTAGTAGGGGATTGAAAACATTTTGGGCCGGCGCCTCGCTCACAAGGCTAATCCTCCACCTGTGGTGCAGGCACACCGGGTTCTAGTCCCAGTCAGGGAACCGGATTCTGTCCCGGTTGCCCCTCTTCGAGGCCAGCTCTGCTGTGGCCCGGGAGTGCAGTGGAGGATGGCCCAAGTGCTTGGGCCCTGTACCCGCATGGGAGACCAGGAGAATCTCATGGCTCCTGGCTTTGGATCAGCACAGTGCACCGGCTGCAGTGCCCCAGCCAGCCACGGTCTCTCTCTCTCTCTCTCTCACTGTCCACTCTGCCTGTCAAAAAAAAAAAAAAAAAAAAAAAGGAAAAAAAAAGAAAGAAAGAAAGAAAACATTTGTGGAATTAATGACCAGAGCAATGGGCATGAGAAGTCTTCTCAGCACTGACAGAATCAAAGAAAATACTAAAGGGTCTCGGTTTCTAGTGCACATCTTTTGCCAGCCAGAACTCACAATAGAACACAATAACTTGCAGTTTCCCTCTCACCCCTATAATTGCATTGAAAAAAGATATTAGAAATTCATTCATTAGAAGTTATTACACACAAATACTTGGCACTTCAAAAATACTCATCTATTCTTCCTTGTGTCCAGTAGATATTGTGGATAAATGCCCATTTCACACATATTCTTTTTCATTCCTTCTTTCCATAGCTGTTTAACAAACACCATGTCCCATTAGGGTCAGGTCCACAAGGTCCTAAGGATTTCCCAACAGTTCTTAGAAGTTATAGAGACTTTTGTACCTAAGGCTATTGAAAGAAAAGAGGAATCCCGTACAATCTGAAGCTCACATGTGTGTAGTCACAAGGCCCTGGAATGTTACCATCTTGATTCCCATTAGATGGTAAAAGAAAGCAACCAAGGATAAAATTTCCCCCAGCATGGTTTAACAGAGACCATTCACCTTTGATCGGTTGTTGGCCAGAGACCCCCGCCAGCAGCTGCTCCGCTCTGACCTGTGGGGTCCATCCTGGGCTCACAGGGACATCAGCAGAGCTTCTGTAGCCACCACCCCAGGCCTCACTCAGTCCACCAAGTGTCCTCCGCAGCTTTCCTTATCAAACAACGGAGCTTCCTCTCACTCCAACTCTGTATATACCACACTTCCTCCTCACAACTTTTCTAACAGCCTCTTTGAAGTCTTTGTTCCTCAAGCTGTAGATAACAGGGTTCAGCAGTGGGGTGACCACAGTGTAGAAGACAGAAGCATCTTGCTGATTTCCGGTGACAGCTGGGCACGGGGGCGCACATACATGGAGATCATAGTGCCGTAGTAGATGGTGACAACAGCCAGGTGGGAGCCGCAGGTGGAGAAGCTCTTCATCCGGCCAGAGGCTGAAGGGATCCTCAGGATGGAGGACACGATGAGCACGTAGGACATGAGGGTCAGGAAGAAGCAGATGCAGAGGACGGCGATGGACAGGACGAAGATGGCCAGCTCGGGACATGGACACTGGAGCACGACAGCTGCATCAGTGGGTGGAGGTCGCAGAAGAAGTGGTTGATCTGGTTGGGGCCACAGAAGTCCAACGTGGAGATCATCAGGGAAGGCAGAAAGCCCGTGCCAGCGCCCATCAGCCAGGAGGCAGCCGTTAGCTTGGTGCAGGTCTCGGGGCTCATGAGGACGGGGTAGTGGAGTGGGCGGCAGATGGCCAGATAGCGGTCGCAGGCCATCATGGCCAGGAGGAAGCACTCGGTAGCCCCAAAGAACACGAAGAAGTAGAGCTGTGCCATGCAGGCGAGAAGGAGATGGCCCGGCCCCCCGAGAGCAGGCTGGCGAGGAGAAGGGGCACGATGGTGGACGTGTAGCAGATCTCCAGACAGGAGAGGTGTTTAAGGAAAGAGTACATCGGAGAGTGCAGCAGCTGCTGCTGGCTCACCACAGCGATGACAACAACATTGCCTGCAATGGTGAGAGTGTAGACAGCCAGGAAAATGGCAAAGAGCAGAGTCTGCCACTCAACAATGTTCTGGAACCCTAGGAGCTGAAACTCAGTGACAGCGGACTTGTTCGGGGGCATGGCCATTGCCTACAGGGGACAGAGAAATTGGGGAGAGGCACAGAACACAGAAAAGACGCACAGAACACAAAAGATGCTGATAATATTCAAGCTTGGAACTCCAGACAGGATTTCTAATAGTTGATGTCTCTGGGTACAGCTTTCCAGAGGCATGAACCTATAATTCCATGTCTCTTTAACAAGATACAGCTGAACATACTAAGACCACAGAGGGAGACTGTGTAAGTGCCGTTTTGATTTAATTAAGTAGATAGAATTAGTATCAAGATGGGGTTGGTGCGGATCTTCCCAGAGCTCACACAGGCCCAGGGAGCTGCCACCCTGCTGAACCCCGACTCCCGGCTCACCCTTCCTAACACAGAAGCCCCTGCCTCTTGCCACTTGTGATTTTGCTGGGGTTACCTCCCAGGGCTGACATTACCTCAAATCTCATCGGGATGAGGGAAGCACAGAACTCGGCTCCCAGGAGGCTGGGTCGGCATCAGTGCCACGCAGTGAGATGCAGCTAAGCTCCTGTTTTGCAGCTTTCTTTGAAATTGTATTAAAATAAACAGAATTAAGACAGTTGCTGTTCTTCCATGCAGTCTTACATGGACGAAGCAGCCGCTGACTTCTTGAGAACTCTGTCTTGGTCACTGTTGTTACTAGTGTGGCACACGCTTGCTCTTGGGGCAGAATTAGTGACAGTTTCCACACCGACGAGCAAAGGCGAGCTGTGCCCCCATAGCTAGGGCTCATTTCCCAGCCTGATGTCCGCAGCCACAACAACCAGACCTGGAGATCTGGGCTGTGGGACGCAGCACCCAGCACGTGCACTACAGGCTGAAGCAAGCTCCTCCTTCTCCCTGGAAACCCCCTTTCCCCCTGCCAGTGCACAGAGCCCTGCGTTGCCCCTGCCCCGGGCTCCGGGTTACTCTCCTCCAACCTAACTTGCACTAGGCTTCCATCATCAGATCTGCAGTTTGCCATCTCCTGCTGGTGCTGGGTTTGGTTGAAGCAGCTGCCTCCCTTCAATAACCATGGGGCGCCTGGGGACCTGCCCTTGAGAGCCCTGCTCCCCAGACACTCTCCTGTGAGCTGCCAATCAGGTGCATGAACAATGAGGTCGGCCTTCCGAGACTTGAATCTGCCCACCAGGGACAGTGGCAGCTCCCATGCTCTGCTGGAAATAGGATTGGAAACACTGAACTTAGGACAGGCCCCGGCAATGCTGAACTGGAAATTGAATCAGACAAGAGTGTTCCTCCAAAATGAAAGAAGTAGGCAGTTAGTGATGGAACAGTTCTGACGACCAAACATGTAGAAGTTACTCTTCACTGAGTAGCTTCTGCCGCCACACTTCACAGGGGTGGCTGTTTGACAACTGTGTACACCTAGGTAAACTAAATAATTCATATCACCGGGAAAACTTAAATTTTGAAGACCCAATCTGTGCTCTTCTGGAATAGGCACAAGAAACCTGAATTTTCTCTCCAAAACCCTTTTAGTCATTTTTAAAATATTTTTTAAAAAACATTTATTTGAAAGGTAAAGTGACAGAGAAAGAGGGGGATAGATAAGATCTTCCCTCTGCTGGCTCACTCCCCAAATGCCCACAGCAGCCAGGGCTCTGCCAGGCTGGATACAGGAGCCAGGAACTCCATCCAGGCCTCCGATGGGTGGCGGGGGCTCAAGGATTTGAGCCATCATCTGCTACCTCCCTGGAGCATTAGCAGGGAGCTGGATGGGGAACATGGAGCAGCAGGGACTGAAACGGGGTGTTCTGTGGGCGGGGACAGCCTTCCTGTGAACACCACGGCAGCCGGGGTGATGGAGCCTCGGAACTGTCAATCTTACTGATTTCTCAACTTGACCTTCATAACCTTATTGTTAACTTGTTTTAAGTAACTGCATAGTAATTAATAGTTGCATTGAAGTAAAAATAAACACCCAATGATGCGTAGCACACAAAAACAATATATTCACTGATATCTTTATTCAAACTTTATCTAAAGTGATATTCCAAAACTCTTCTTTATATTTCTCGGTAAAGCTGTTTGAAGGTGCCCTTCACAGGTGCATTATTAACTTGTGCACAGAGAAATCTGAAGTCCTATAACTATCTTTTACCACGGTATTTTTACCCAGTCAGTTACTGGCAATTTTATGCTAATAAATGGCTGCCAGAAATCATTAGAACATAAGAAATGACCACAGTTCCCTGAGATCACAGCCTAACTTCACTGTAAAATATAGAATACTGCCATTTGTGGAGCATTCGTTGAGTTGGTTTTCAGGGTTGAGTGGCTTGCACACATGACCTCACCTCATGGTGGTCTGCGTGTCCAGTGTCCACTTAGAAGAAGGAACTCAGAGGCCCAGAAAGAGTGATTGGCTCAAGGCCACCAGATCAAAGTACCACAGCACCACCAGTCCCAGCCAGAACAGCTGGCTGTCGGGGCCATACGTGGGGTCTTTGAGGAAGAAGCTAAGCATGGATTTCAAAAATACTTGCACCAGAATGGGCTCATTCTGTTCCCAGGAGCTCTTTAAGGCAACTTCAGTTTGCAAACACAGGTCCTCGTTTCATCTCTAGCCACAGCAAAAGGTGCTTGCTCTCAACGTAATGAAAGGCAAGCCATCTGGTGCTCACCCTGTGAGCACGGGGCCTGCAGACTGCCTGGAGCTCCTGCCTCGGGTTCCGGATCCATGCTCCATGAGGGGTCCAGGTCCATGCTCCATGAGATCCCAGGTCATCAGTGTGCAGTCCATGGACAGCATCGTGGCTTTCGGGGTCGTGCTGGGAGGGCATGATGGAGGCTGGGGGTGCCGCCTCCATTGCAGACAAGACAGCTTGAGAGAGGAGAGAAGTGGTTTTCAGGGAGGAATTACGACTGCAGTTTCATCCTAAAGTTAAAAATGCCATGGACAGGTGGAGGCTTCAGGAAAATGTATTTTGGTCCAGGAAAAGGAAGAATGTTCTGGAACTGAGGCTCCACACCCCTCTGGAGCTGTGGCTGTGCTGTGTTGATCAGGGAAGTGATGTCTTAGAGAGGCAGGTGCCGAAGTGCTTCCTGAAATCTAAGTCTATTCTAATTTCATACACAGAAGCGACTGCACTAACTTGCAGGCGTAGCTGCCTGAGGAGGAGCAAAGTCCATGGGGTGCTGCTGTTTTTGGCCTGCATGCTGCGGGTCCGTGGCCACACGCTGAAGTGGGGGGGCTCTTGCTGGGGTCTACCTAAGGAGCTGCTACACCGGGAGACACAAGTCCAAGACAGCCGTGTTCTGAAGGTCCAGAAGAAGGCAAAACCCCTGCCACGCATGTGGGAGACCACGGTGGGGCTCCTGGTTCTGGGTGTTGGCCTGGCCCAGCCCTGGCTGTTGGGAACATTTGGAGAGTGAACCAGTAGATGGATGATCTCTCTCTCTCTCCCTCTCTCTCTCCCCCTCCTGCATCTTTCTCTTTCTGTTGTTTTCTTTTCTTATACATAAAATCAAGAACAGCAACAAGGAACAATAATCAGAGAAGGCGGGGCACAAATGGAGAGGACCCCAGACAACAAGGATGGCATGTGTGTGTAGGGAGTTTAGCTAAACTCTTTGGGAGGCTATGTTTGTAAACGTTGGAGTCAGGGAAGGGACGAGGGGAGAGGGTGTCACACATGGCTGTGACGCCCGACTCATACCCTCTCATTAGGCATCCAGGCTTGAAGCTGGCTCTGATCACTTCCTCTAAGCCCACGTGTTTTAGGACTGGGCTACATGTGCACAGAGATACCCCAGAGCTGAGAACCCCGTCAAGCAGCCCGGGGTCACAGAGGGACCCCAGAGCTGAGAACCACCTGCCAAGCGGCCTGGGGGCACAGAAGGTGGAAGCCAGGCTGGAGAAACCAAAAAACAGGAGTGACAGTGCCCGGAGCACCCATGCCTCTGCAGGACCAGAGCCTTACACATGGACATCCAGGACTAAATTCCTTCCAATCCCACAGGCCTGACCCCAGC